ATATATATATATATATATATATATATATATATATATATATATATATATAATAATAATAATAATTTAGCCTCCTTCACAAATAATGTCAACCACACTAGGTTCCATTAAGACTGGTTCCAGACATCGATGCACTGCACTGCTCAAAATCTCATCCAACAGAAAGTGTACTACACTGTAAATAACAGAGCCGGCATTAATAATGATTTTAATTCTCTCGTTGTTTTGCTCTATGATGAGTTAAAGAAGTCACAAGTTCTTACTTTTCATCTGTAACGAATCTCCATAGATAAACCTGCAGATAACGCGTGTCCACTTGGATCTGCTGCAAACCGTATTTGCTGAACGTTCGCAGTCTCACGCATTCGAGGAAAGTCTATGTAAGAAATAGTCAAATAATTATTACTGGATTTAAGAAGGGCTTATATAAAGCATCGTGTTTTAATTATTATAATTGTACATAACAAATCAATCAAGAAGCGTTATTTAGATATAATTTAGACATATTTGAGAATATAATCTATTTCTGTTGCAAGTGGTGGCAAAAGCACGAAGCGTATTGCGTAGCGAGCGATGGTGGAGTTTGTGCTGTACAAGCGGGAAGATAAGTCGGCTTGGCAAAGTGGATAATGGTGGTGCTATTTTGTCATTGCGACCACTCTGCAGCACCTGAACGATTATTGCGCGACGCGGTACATTGTCTGCTAAAAGTATCACTCCTTGACAACAGTAATAGCAATTTTCATGCTTACCTTTAGGCTTATCTTGATGATACCAGTCAAAATAGACGCCTTGTTGAACTGCACGGATGAGAAAATTTCGATCCGTTCGGAGAAAAGTTTATGGATATTCGTCACTAGCGAGGAATCGATGTGGCTGGGCGTGTACGATGACCAGTTAGATCTGTAGTGATGCCTCGACACGCTAACACTGAAAAAACACGCAAACTTAATATTTTTTGTTTCAAATTCAACCTGAAAGATTCAAGGATCAGTGAGTTAAATGTGACACCTGTGTGTTTTTCTGCTGCTGTCGCTACTCCTGTCAACTTGACCTTCATTATCATCGTATAAGGCGGCGACCTGCGAATCGATTGCCGTCACATCCTCGACCACTCTCTTCATCACGGCCCTCACGATTCTGGGCTCAATCGTGTGCAACCAGTCCCTTGTCTCCACAGATTTCCTCAACATTTGTGACACCGTCAAACCCTGAATTCGCACATAATGGTTTAGCAAACTCTGCGCCGCTTTCTGAAAGCAGTCACACATCTCCGATTCCGTAGTGACGATGTTCTCCGATGATGTGTACTGCTCGATGCTAAAAAGCTCATCTGTTGTCGTGAGCTGTGTGAATACATAAAGATATCATGTATCGTATGTATACTTATTCAAACATTATAAGATTCTCTCATAAAGGAGAGAACTTAAAATATTTCTTTCTTTCTAAGTACCAAATATCGCACGTTGTTTTCCTTATATTCGATGCACATCTTACTGAGCAGAAGCAGAAGGGTAGGTGGAAATTTCGGCACGTCATATCCGTTGCAGAATCCAGCGGCCGTAATCGTGAGATGGTGCAAGAAGCCCACAACGAGTCCCTCTCTGACCTCATCTACACAGAAGCTCTGCAAAAACTGAGTCTTCAAGCTGAATGATAACTCAGGCTGCAAGAAAACCTAGAAATGTCGAATTCTTTGTTATAATTCATCATAATTGTATAGTTTAAGAAATATCTTATTTACATATAATAATTTAAATGTCACTTTTTCTTGAATAACATTCTTTCATTAATGTTTTAAATAGCAATAAAAATACAAACCAACAAGTCCTGTAGGACCCCTTTAACTTTTTCTATAGTGGGCATAATGAGCATGGCCTGAAGCTCTGCTAGACTACCATCACTGTCCTGCATGACTTTGGTGGCCAAGGTCTGTCTCACTTTGGCTAAAGTCTCACTTAAATGTTGCTTCAGGCAGTGTAAATGGCTGCGACATTGCTTTCGGCCTGCACTCACGACGATATCAGTGCTAATTCTACAAAATAAATAATATATCTCTTACACATATGTATCTAGAAAAGTTTATGCAATAAAATATATAAACTACTTTTTATATATATATATATATATATATATATATAAGAGTTCACGTCTTTCTGCGTGAATCTCAGCGAGAAGCAATATGTTGCTTTTAAATTTTTTCTACTTACTTAGCAAAGTCCATGTCCTTACACAACATATTCATTGCCTGTAATTTTCGATGGAAGCGATCGAGAGCTCTCACCAAGATCGCTGTATCTGCTACATCTTCCACTCTTTTGCCCACCAAATCAAAATATTTCGTCATATTCCTTATAACAAAATGACTCACGTGACTAATAGCCTTTATGTCAAAATCATCGGCCAAATCGTTATCTTCTAGCGATCGATTTATAAACATTTCATTATAAGAAGATACAATAAGGCATAAGTCATTGAGAAAACCCGAATTTGCCATATCCATGAACTCAATAATGTCATTCTCACACATATCTTTTAACTTTTCTAATTTTTCTGTTAATCTTCCTTCAGCATGCACAAGAAATTCGGTGCATAAAGAGTCGACTGGTTCCTTCAGTCGCAGTAACAAATCTACATTCTCTGCTAGAGCCTTAGTGGAAGCATCCTTTTTATGAAATTGTTGTCTTAATTTGTGTTTTAGCTCTTCTAAAATATCTTCGCAATCCTTCTGGATACCTTGGAATGATGGCATATTGCCATATTGATTCAGTACTCTTTGTGCATGAACATAATCCTTAACAGCCTGCAATAATTAATTAAACACTTGTATAAAACTTTATATAGAATTTAATATCTTTGTAAAATTTAATAAATTTTTGAATAAAGAGCTGTTTGGAATTCATTTTAGCCATGTTTCTTTCAATAATAATTTAATACATATACCTGTGCATAATTCTCTTCATTCATCTTCTCTTTGAGATTGCCAGGCAATTTAAAGAGAAACTGAAGTTTCTTTAATAGAGTATGTACAGAAGATAGTTTGGCAATTTGTTGTCTGGTTCCATGCAAGGTTGAAGAAATCTGTTCTGAAAAGGAAGTGATACTGTCCATATTCTTTGCCAACAAGTCCATGCTGTCCTCCATTTCCTTAAAATCTGTTTTCATCTACAGAATTATAAGCATTATAACATTTTATAAATCAAGAATATATTAAAATAATTTGTATATATAAAAAAATTATATTTGAAAATAAAATCTAATATTACTTTATATATATATAATATTTGATCTCTTTTAATAAATAATTCACCTTGCGAATAGTATCAGTAGCAGATATAAATTTATTATAATTCTCATATACCAAAGTCTGCATGTCTGAATGTAAGATTTGAGTATTCCTTATAATTTCAGCTTCGTGATCCATAATTTGTTTTAGTGTACATTCCTGTTGAGAAAAATATATATGTAAATGTGCAATTACTAAATTATTAAAAGTTATCTAAAATTTAATTTTAATTATTCTTGAGAACTTGAACTCACCTTTAATAACTTTTGAAAGTACATATCCGAATCAAAATATTGCCCATTAATGTTATATGGATTATTTATATTTTCTGCCATTTTGTATATTTCTTTCTTGCCAACAAAAGGGATTTAAAAAATCGTTGTGCTTTTAATTTTCTAATATTTCTTATTTTTAATTTGTGATTGTTAGATTCTATAACTCTCTCTCTCTCTCTTTTTTGAAATTAAATTTTCAGAACTTGAGTTTTTATGCGTTTTTTCAACTTTTTAATCTTAAATTCTTACATTGTTAATTACATAAATTCTTAGCTAATAATAAGTTATAATGTATTTTATTGTAATTTTTTTGTAAGAACTACAATAACCTGCCAAAATTTTAAACCTTCATATGACATATTAATTTTGTATTTTTTTTAATAGATATGAATCGGAATGATATTAAATTGTATTTATTATCTAAGCAACGATACCAATTTTAATATTAATATAGAATAATACTGTTTCCTTAATTTTGTATTTCTATTTTATCGACTCTCTCTAAGTAAAGTAAGAACATCGATCAAGTTGGTGAGGTGTCTCTGTAACGTTTGGAGGTTAAGGAGGTTAGATCTTCGAACGCTGTATCATGAGATACAACTTTGCTCCCTCGTCTGGAAGCGCAACAAGTACGTTAAATAATTTAAATAATTCGAATACTTTGTTATCGTTTCTGTAGAAATTAATAGATTTATCGGACAATTCAATTAAATTATTTTCTTTAACATTTTGCGAGTTTATTGAAATACACAAGTATATAAGTGCTTATAAAATTTTATTCACTGATGAAAATCTTCAATTCGTATTAAAAAATTCGTACGAAAGGATTCTTCAAAATAGATAGAATCTTACAAAAAGATGGACAGAAATGAATAATGCTATGCGTTTGATAAAATTATAAGGAAGGTAATGCTTTTAAGTCTAACCTAACATTAACCTGCTTGCTACTTTGCTAGTATAATTTTTCTAATTTCTTGAGATACTTATTAAACTTTTTATTTATTTTCAATTGCAGCAGAAGAATATCTAAGTGAGGCTTCTTGTCTGGATGTTCTGAAATTCCATGTTAAGTCTTTCATAAATTATGAAAAGGAAGGACTGCGAATGCTGTTTAATCTTTGACGACTCTAAGATTTATTGTGAATTATGGAATTGAAGGATTTATTGGTCTTTTGATCTTTGGGAGTTACATGTGTTGCCTTAGATAAACTATGGTACTTAGAAACAGTGGTACAAAGATCATCTTAGTTCAAGTTCAGTCATAATCTGTGAATCACAAACTGAGCTTATCTAATTAGTCACAAATTTTGATAAGTAAGAATCTGAAGATCTTCTGATCTTCAAGACTTAAGATCACAACAGTGAATTATGTGAAGGAAGGATTTTGAGACTTCTATCTAATTTTTGAAAATCAAAGAAGTCCAACCATGCCACATCCATGCGTGGTGTGCGGTCGTTCTCGGATGAATCCCAACAACCGTGAGGAGGAGTATATGTTCTTCAGTTTCCCGGTTAACGACGAAGCGCGCTGTCGCCAGTGGCTCGAGTTTTGCGGCCGCGAGGATCTTTACAAACTGTCAAAGAGACAATTGCTTCAACGCATGGTCTGCTCCAAGCATTTCGAACAGAATGACTTTCTCACCGAGTATCTCGACCGTCTCCATTCTACGGCGGTACCGACAATCTACGACCCTCTACAAAGTCTTTACAATATAACCTGTATTATCTGTAAGAGCAGCCGGCGAGATCCGCCGGCACCTGATTACGACGGCACCACGTTTCACCATTTTCCCGGCGAGGAGTTCCGGTGCCTTAAATGGCTGGATTTTGTCGGGGTAGAGTCTTATTACAGACTGACCAGGAAGGAAATCCTCTTCTGCTACATTTGCTCCAAGCATTTCGATCGTTCTCAGTTCGTGCCAGGATATAAAGGAAGGCTGACAGAAAATGCGGTACCGACTATCCGTTATCCTAAACCACAAGATATGTCGAATCTGACTAACACGGATTTAACGGCAGAAACTAAATTGAAACTCTTCGCGGTCCCAGAGAAAAAGAAGAAGAATATCTTGCCTGTTGAAGTACTGGAGAGCCAAGCTTGTGCGGCTTGCGGTCGTTCAAGATCAGATCCACGTAACAAACTCGAGCGCTATAAATTTCATCCGTTCCCTGCATACGAGATCGGCCGGTGCCTGCGCTGGTGTCAGTTCTTAGGCCGCGAGGATCTGCTCAGTATGTCGCCCAACCAGATACGCAAACTCGTGCTGTGTTCCCGTCACTTTCAAACTGGTCAGAACTTTCATAAGAGCCCGTGCGACGCAATACCAACCATCAAAGATGTCTCCAAGTCTTTGATGTCCACAGTCTCTGTAAATGTTGAAAAAGAATACATCAGCGAGGACTCCAACGAGGGGACGAAACGTTTCTCTAGGCCGCTGGTGTCCAGCAAAAAACCCAAGATAGAGAACAAACCTACTCCGTTAGCTAAGAAACGCGGGAAATCCCGGCGACCGACTTCGATCAACATTCCCAAGCCTGATGGCAACATGAAGAATCGAATCAAGAAATTGCCGTTACCGTCCTCGGCGAACTGGAAAATCCAATTGGGCGAACAGTTGCAACCGATGGCAGTGAACAATATTGTATCCAATGTGACAACGACAAATTTACAGCTGAATGAATCCAAGAAAGTCATTATGCCGATTACTTGGGATATCTCGAACTTGGGCGCACCGATACCGGTGCACAGTTTATCCAGCATGCCACCGGGGCTGTTAATAAAGATCAATTTACCGGAGCAGAAACAACAGAAAGAACAGAAGACGACTAGGAAGAGGAGGGTGACGAATAAGAGAGCTTCCAAAAAACCGACCTCGCCGAAAAAAAATGGTCAGACGGCTGTCGTGTCGCAGAAGATCAAACCGAGCATGAATAAAAATATGAAGTCTTTATCGATGTCTTCAGAAGCAACGGAAGAGATTTTAAATTCCGAAAACTCGCAGGTACAGGAAGATGTGGCTCCTCAGCATCAGCATCAGAAAATGAAGGAACAATATTTCGAAGAATCAACAGCTACTGATCAGAAGAAAAGGAAAATAAAACGAAAGAGGATTACAGGTACCATGAAGAGGACTACATTTCCTATCACGTGTGAGGTTAGTCGCTTTCTGAAGAAGCTGACACCACTGATGCATCGATTCCCAAAGAAGGCTAGAGCACATATGAAGCTTTCAATTGTTAACATGGTAATCGATCACCTCTGAAGATGCAAAGGATATTACTTTGAACGTTGAATATTCAACTTAAAAAAATCCTTGAAGTTTGTAGTTATATATATATATATCAGATGATGCAAGGAATCGTAAAAAGATTTGAATAAAAATGTGACGTTATATTGTTATAAACATACATACATACATACATATATACATACGTGTATATATATATGCATACATATACATATATATATATATATATACACATACATATATATTTATATATATATATACACATACATATATATATATATATATATATATATATATATATATATATACATACACCTACATACACATACATTTATACACATATACATACATATATATATATACATATGTATGTATATATATATATAATTAATCTAATGTCAAAGTTAAAATAGAGTAACTAGAATTTAACAAATCAGCTCAGAACTTAGAAGACAATTAAGTTGTATTTGGTATTGCAAGTTATCATTTGTAAAGATGCAAAAATCAATCACTATTTCCATGTATATTCATAATTGAGGAAAATATTATTTTTACTATATGTATTTATAAGGACTACACATGATAATAATAAATATTACAATAACAATACCAATACTCGCAGAATCTTTTTAAGCTGTATTTTTCCCATCTAATGATTTAATACAGTAGTAGCTGAGTCTAAAAATATATATAAAAGAATGAAATTATATATCCTTTTTTATTATATCTATAGTTAAAATTTGTAAATACAGAACTTATTATTAAAGGATGAAAGATAAATTTTCATTTAGTAAAGATTATAGAAATAGATATACAGTGTTCAAGTATCCTATAAAGCATACCTACATTATTTACATTAAATAGTGAAATATTACATATTGCTACTCTAATTTGCTACAAAATTTTTAAATAATGAGGCATATACAATGAATTTAAATTTTGTTTCTTTAATAAAAATATATATTTAAAAGAAATCAAGTTATCTTTCCTCTATTTAACATTGTTAAGTACTAATTTCGTTATTCTCAATATTTATTTTAGTACAAACATTACTACTTTGCATGAAAATTATCAAAGTATTTCAATCTCAATATTTAAAGATATTTCGACATCACATTAAAACAAAAACTATTGCAGTTAATAAGTAGACTATATAACAATTCAAATTTCAAATATAAATTAGTGCGCAAGAAAATTAAGTTAGTAATACATCAGCATATATATATTTATATTTCTAGTTTTTGTTACTCTTTATTCAAGAAAATTATCACGAGAAGATACTTTTATCCCTGATAAATTTGGTGCGATTGACCTTTGATCACTATATTCATCTAACTGCGTAGACTTTGCAGTCTGTTCTTCATCTCTTCCAATTCCTTATCATCATCCTCTGTCTCTTCTTCTGCAGTACTAGAGGTAGCAATTGATCCTGGATTTTCTGTGACAACTGCTGGTGCTGTACCCAGTTGACCAGCTGTCACCTCCCATAAGATCTATCAAGGTTGAATTATGTATTATTTGTATAAATTGATTTTATATTGATTTTTAATATATTTTAGTGAAATATGTACATTTTATTTTCATTTATATTATAATTTGACTGTTAAAGGAATTTTCTTTTATCCTGTTATATCGATATTCTTTCTGTTTTATTATATCAATAGAATGTTATGACTGAAATTATTTACCTTGTCAACTTCTTCGTCCGCTTCATCTTCCATGTCCTCAGAATCTTCAATAGAATCCATTGTTTCATCCAGCATCTCCTCAATGATTCCTGCCTTCATCATCTCTTTTGACATTTCCCTCATAGTTGCAGCTACCTCTGGCACTCGCACTAGCGACTGCATAGCCTGCATTACTTCTGTAGATTTTGAGACTGAACCAGCAACTCTAATTGTAGCCAGCTGGTTTTTCATTTGTAGTGATACTGAATTCAAATGTGCCCTGGATGTGTAGATCTTATTGTAAGCCTTACGAGCTCTGATAATCTCTTTTGCCAGTACTTTGCATACATCTCTGTCACCCTTCTTTGCTGCCTCTTTCAAAGAACGTTTTACTTTCTCTTCCTCCCTCTGAATCGCTGAAGAGAAGTATAAGTTTTATAAGGAATTGGAATTTTTGTCAATAAAATGATTATTTCTTCTATCTCTCTTATGTTCTATTATATAGGAGCACCTTCTTATGACTCACCTCTAACTTGCCTATCTAACTGATAACCTTCTTTTCTCAATTTATGAGTCCACTCCTGAACCTGTAATATTATCAAATGTCATTACTTAAACATGACAGAGCGATGTTTGCAAAACTCACCATTTCCTTGGGGTTCTTCTCTTGCGATTTCCCAAATAAACCCATATCTGAATCACGTTGACAACGAAACGTCAAAACATTTAGCTCACCAACATAACCTCTAAACTGTATCTTATCTGATTTTAATTCTTCAAGGCTCTCTCTCTCTTTCTCTGTATTGGTTCCAGGTAATCCTATGATTTTCCCCCAACACCATTCTAACTATTCTTCAAGGTTATGTCATAGCCACAGATGTCTATACTAACCTAGATTGCTAACTAAGGCTTCAAACTTGTGTCGCATGAGGTTTCCGGTTGTATGCGAGAAAATGGCGGCAGTCCTGTGTGTGTGACGCTGTGTATGACGTGTCACTTGTGTGAAACTTACACATACAATGTGAGTCAGCATGGCCATTAAATTACTGTCGTAAAACAAAAAGGCCAGCATCTTATTAAAGCATAAAAAAATGTAACAAAAAAAATAGATAGTATTGGATGTTATTTGCTCTGTTCATTTTCAACAAGAGAATTTTATGACTAAACGTAGTGAAAATATGTGGCGATAGCGGCTATTTTCTCGCATACACCGGAAACTCTATCGGACGCACAGATGTCTATACTAAACTAGATTGCTAACAGGCTATCTAAAAGCATATAACGGCTTGCGTTACCATTATCGAGCAGATATTATTATAATTATTATAAAAAAGTAATAATATTCGAATAATGGTAGTGATAATAATATCCGATCGACAATCGTGTGAAAATAGCCGCGAACGGATAATAACTGAATAACGATAATCGAATAATCGGTAATAACAATGAATAACAATAACTGGACAACGGCAATAATAATTGATTAAAGACGAGGTAAAGAAATTGTCGTAACGGTACATCCGAGCTTTCCTATACGTAATAGCAATAATTAAATAATAACCGAATAAATTAAATAATAATCGAATAAAGAAGTAATGATACTCGAATATTAAATGGAATATTAAGTGATAATAATATCTGTTTGAGACAATCGTGTGATAATATCTGCGAGTG